AATTTTCCCTTTTGATAAAAGAACAAAAAAGAATGTGTTCTTTATAAATTGATGTTTAGTAACTAGTGATAAACTTGATATATTAGAAATTATGATAAGCCTTAATCCAAGGGAGTCTTATGAAAATGAGTCTCTTAACTATCTTTTGAATCTATATTAAAAATGGTTTTCAAGATATTTTAAGTTGTATATATTTCTCTTTTTTTTCAAAGCTGCTTCTTATATTTAGGCTACTTTTTAAAATTAAAGTATAATTCAAAAGGGGGTGCATTTTTTTTTTTTTTTTTTTTTTTTTTTTTAGCCATACTTGTAAGTATGGCTAGATGTTTTGCTCTAGTCTTCCAAGAAGGGAGATTTTATTTTTTAGAGTCACTTCTAAAGTCATGTGGTCATTAACTCTGGAGACCATTTTTCATATGAGTGCTGATACAAATTAAAACCCAAGTAGACCACATTGCATGCTAGCTCATGAATGTTGACAATGGAAGGAATACCTTGTCTGTGATATACTTTCACTTCTGGATTGAAAAGCTGAAAAGAAACTTGATTTTCTTTTTTTCAGAAGTCAAAAAATAAAAAAACTTAACAGCTAGGGTTTTCTAGTTGACTTTGGCAGATGAAATGAATAGACACTGTTAATGCAGATTGAAGAAATTATCTGAATCTTGGTTTGTGTAGATTTACAATCTACATGCAGTATTTGTGTACATAGGTTTCCCTCCCACCCTCTTCCGTATCTGTTAGTTACTAAACTTTCTGAACTGGCATTGAAATATTACAACGTTTTGTTGCACGAATTTTATAAACTTACACAGTGCAACACATGCTATTTTTATGAGGCAAACCAAAGGTAAGTTTCTCAAGGTTCTTTACTACCATACCAATGTAAAAAAAGATGAGATCTTGCATGCTGCTGATAAAGACATATCCAAGACTGGGCAATTTACAAAAGAAAGAGGTTTAATGGACTTACAGTTCCACATGGCTGGGGAGGCCTCACAATCATGGAGGAAGGCAAGTAGGAGCCAGTTACGTCTTACATGCATGGCAGCAGGCAAAGAGAGAGCTTGTGCAGGGAATCGCCCCCTTATAAAACCATCAGATCTCATAAGACTTATTCACCATCACAAGAATAGCATAGGAAAGACCCACCCCCATGATTTGATTACCTCCTACTGGGTCCCTCCCACAATACATGAGAACTCAAGATAATATTTGGGTGGTGACACAGCCAAACCATATCAATTAGTAATAGATAAAAACAAGTCCGATTGCAAGTCATTTTTAAAAATCTTAAACCATGTACCAAGTTTTTGATCCAAATTGCATAAGTTAAACTTAAGTTACATTCTATTATTAAATATGAGTGTATTTCTGTAAGCATAGTTATGTTGAAATACAGTTTTAAAAAGCTCAAAAAATCCCCTGCCCAATAGCACCAAGCAATATCCTTTACTTCATACAAGATGTATATAGCACAACTATAATGAAAGTAATTTTAAAAAATCTATTTCAGGGCTTCATTTTCTTTCCTTTATTAGCCAAATGGCACCTACCATGTCATTATTCTCCAATTTTACTAGATCCTCATTTGTTAATAACTACTTATGTGATTCAAAGCAGTTCTCCAACAGAATTTCTAATGACTTCATAAATATTTGCCTTGTAAACAGTAAACATTTAATAATTTCTGTGATGACAAGCAGGAAAAGGTGATGTTTAACAACAGGACTCTAGAACCAGATTGCCCAGGGTCCATTCTTTGTTCTATCATTTGTAAGCTATGTGCTCTTAAAAAAATTACTGAACTCTCTATGAGTCAGTTTTCTCATCTATAAAATGAAAACACAAGAACAATTATGTCTCACAGAGTTTCTGTGAGGGTTAAATGCAAAAACCTTAGAGCAGTGTCTGGTATGCAGTAAACACTAGTATGGGTTTATTATCAAAGTATGCAGAGAATATTTAGCAGCAAGAGTCTAGATATGTATAAATCATGGGAACTTTTCACACCAAAAGTGATAAATGAGACACTAAAGCAGATAAAAGCTCCACTCGTGGTTCTTTATCAGGAAACGGTAAGAATCTAGCCATTGGTACTTCTTCATTCCCTAAAATTTTAATTCTCATAAATAGAATAATTAGTGATTTATTGTTGCCTTTTTTTTTTTTAGATGGAGTTTCACACTTGTTGCCCAGGCTAGAGTGCAATGGCATGATCTTGGCTCACTGCAACTTCCACCTCCTGGGTTCAAGCAATCCTCCTGCCTCAGCCTCCCAAGCGGCTGGGTTTACAGGCATGCACCACCCTACCCAGCTAATTTTTGTATTTTCGGTAGCAACAGGGTTTCACGATGTTGGTCAGGCTGGTCTCGAACTCCTGACCTCAGGTGATCTACCCACCTCAGCTTCCCAAAGTGCTGGGATTACAGGTGTGAGCCACTGCACCCAGCCTGCTTAGCTCATTTAAGAGTTAGGTTTTTTCAAAAAATGTGTAACTGAATAGAGTCCTTTCATAACTGTCACTGAATAGACATCTATTTAAGTAAATGTTATGCTTTTTTCCTTCCTGCCCCTAAGCAGTGCTTCTCAAATCTTTTTACGGAAGAGTCTCTAATAAAAGATGTGAATGAACTAATATATATCACCCTAATCCCACATTCTGGAGTCCTGAGGTACAGTGGAAAGTGGCCTCTCTAAGCAGGAAATGTCCTTGAAATCTCCTGTTTCATCTTTACAAAAATGTGTATTTTGAACCGGACATAGTGGTGTGCACCTGAATTCAGCTATTTGGGACACTGAGGCAGAAGAATTACTTGAACCTAAGAATTTGAGGTTGCAGTGAGCTATGATTGCACCACCACACTCCAGCATAGGTGACAGAGCAAGACTCCATCTCTTAAAGACACATGATTATTTTGCTTTATATTCCACAATAGGTAATGACTTTAATATAAATATAATTTTAAAATTATATACTAGCAATAAAACTTGTTTATATTAGGGCCTGGTGCAGTGGCTCACACCTGTATTCCCAGCACTTTGGGAGGCTGAGGCAGGCAGATTACCTGAGGTTGCGAGTTTGAAACCAGCCTGATCAACGTGGAGAAACCCCAGCTCTACTAAAAAAAATACAAAATTAGCCTGGCCTAGTGGTGCATGACTGTAATCCCAGCTACTTGGGAGGCTGAAGGAGAATTGTTTGAACCCGGGAGGTGGGGGTTGCAGTGAGCCAAGATCGGGCCATTGCACTCCAGCTTGGGCAACAAGAGCGAAACTCTGTTTTAAAAAGAAAAGAAACAAAAAGAAAATAAATGAAACAAGAAGAGAAGAGAAGAGGAGAAGAAGACAGAAAAGAGAAAAACTTGTTTATATTATTTTACCCCTAACATTCTCTAGCAAACCTGATAGTCTCTGAAAGCATGTCACATGCATCCATTTATACTATTCCTTTGCCAACTCCTTTCCTGTACCTAGTATAGGTAGATGAACTACAATGTCGATACACAGATTAATGGAAAGCCAGCCATCACCATCACCATCTATCTGGTGGTAAATTATCTAAATGTTAGAGAGAGAACTTGGGAGCAATCAATACCTCAGACTCATAAATGAGTAAATAAAACAATGAAAAAATACCTACTCGTGACCAGCTTGCCTCTCAGTGATACTTCTTGCCAAAATATCTGCTTTTAGTTGCCTAATTTTCATCACTTGGCTCAATGTTAGGAACATGGGCTGGGTGATATGGTGTTTAACTATTGATTCTTTAGGGGTGGACAAATCAGACTGACCACTCCTAAGATAATGCTTTTGTCAAAAAATTAAACCACCACAATTCTGCAACAATATCTGTATTTTTGAAGGCATCTATTCCTAGAAATATATATTAACTGATATATACTGATATATCTCCTATCATACCTTAGAGATATGTTTCTTCCTTCATTAAAAAAGCACTGTATTTTAACAGATTGATCTTTTTAAAACTCTGACTTTAATATTTTGACTATTTCTTTGTTGAAGTAAAATGATGTTTAGTGCTTGTACACCACCAATATCTAAATGCTTCTGGATGTTTTAGAGTGTGTTAATGTGTTTCTAAATATTGGCTACATTTTAAACTAGGTATTTTTACAATTAAAATTGTGGTACCACATTTTACTAGTTTTGGTAACCTCCAATTCATACCTTAGCCTGAGAGCTGGGAGAGCCTACAGTTTACAGCTGGGTTTTGAATCGACAGCATCTTAGAAAGCTTCAATTTTTTTTTTTTAACTAAATACAGCCAGAATGGAGGCCTGAAACATTTGGGTGGCTTCCACTTTTTTTTAAATTTTGTTTTTTGTTTAAATACAACTTAGTCCTGTGTTTGCATATGTGGATGATGTGAATATTATGGGAATATTAGGTTTTCTATAACAGTTATGTAAACTGAGCTAAAAATGCTTCGTTTGGGATTTAAAAAAAAAATCTTCCAGGAAGCACACATTACTATTCTTTACAACCAGATGGAAAATAACATTAAGTCATCTCTTACCATGAAATTTTAAGGAAATGTTATTTTAATAAAAATGAAAAAGCTGTGGTGTAAAAGTTATCCCCCTCTCCTTATCTCCCTGTTAACATCAGGGCAGTATTGAAATAACGAATGCATTGTTAATGAAACCAAGAAAATAAAGACCGTAGTATCTGATCCTGCCCTTGTTTCCAGTACATCTGCGCTGAGATGGTCTGTTGTTATTCAACCAGCTAATCACCATCTTTTGTTCACGTCACTATGTTTTTACTCATTGGGGCTAATCTACACAGCCATCTGGTATTTGATAGATAATTGCTTTTTCTAAGTCTCACAGAGCCTGAAAACTATCTCAGGGGAGACTGAACTAGATAACATTGTTCCCAGGTAGAGCAGCAATTGGAGCCAAGATGGAGGGAAGGCTACAGTGATAATTTTCAACTGGGGTACACATTTTGTCCCAGGTTATAATAAACCTGGAATTATATGGCAAATGATAGGTTTGATAATATTCCATAGTATGACTTGTTCTAGAATCTGCTTTCATTTTCCCTGGCAGCCTCATCTCCTTCCAGAACTGAATCAGCCAGCATCTCTAGGGCTGAGGCTCAGAAATCTGCAGCGTTCACAAGCTCTCTCATGTGATTCCACTGCATAGTCCGGACACCAGGGATAAAACGATGAACAGCACAGTCCCTTTGCTGTATAGATAATATTTTAGAGTTCTGTTTATAATAGGATTTTGTTTACAATAATTACTTTTCTGACTACAAAAGAAATACATGCTTACTGCACAAAGCTTAGAAAATACAGAAAGTCCAAAGATGAATACAAAACTGTATCATTCAATGATAAAGTTAATATTGCATACTGCTATGGTTTGAATGTGACAAAGTTCATGTGTTAGAAACTTAATCCCCAATGCAAAAGTGTTGAGAGGTGGGACCTTTAAGAGGTGATTAGGTCACAAGGGCATGAATGGATTAATGCTGTTATCTCGGGAGTAGGTTCCTAATAAAAGGATGGGTTCGGTCCCCTTCTCCCCCATCTCTCCCCTGCTCTCTTGCCCTTCAAGCCTTCCGCCATGTGAAGATGTAGCAAGACGCCCTCGCTAGATGTGGGCCCCTTAACTTTAGACTTCTCAGTTTCCAGAACGGTAAGAAATATATTTTTCCTTATAAATTACCCAGTCTGTGGTATTCTGTTATAGGGTGTAAACCAAAAATAAAATCCTACCCACCCCCGCTGCAACTAACTGAACAGACCCCCTTGTGGCCAAGGAGGCCCCCTAAAAATCTTAAAACTGAGTTCCCAGCCAGGATGGGACGGGAGGCCAGACATGCCTCATTATATCCCCTCCCTCTTGTGGTTTAGACACGACAGACCAGCATTAATGTTAAAATAGGGATCATAAGACTGACAGAACAGACTTTTTGTGGCACTAAGATACCGAATTATAAGCAGGACATATGGCCATGCCAGGCAAGGGGTAAGCCATACACTCCTGTACTTGGAACAAACTATGTTTATTTATGAGTAAAAACTGTTGTTTTTCCAATTTTTATTTTAAGTTCAGGGGTGCATGTACAGTTTTGTTACATAGGTAACGTGTGCCTCGATGGTTTGTGCACAGATCATCCCATCACCTAGGTATAAAGCCCAGCATCCATTAGCTATTCTTCCTGATGCTCTCCCTCCTCCCAACACCACGCTCCAGCACAAACTATGTTTTAATTGCCGCAAGGTTTTTCTTTTTCTCTAGCAGCTAAACAAACACTGACCTTGAGATAGGCAACATTAAAACAATTACAACTCATCCAACTCATCAATGCTAACTGAACCCCTATTCTATCAGCAATAAAGACAGCTTTCGACAAAACTGATTTCAGTAACTTTCTCCTGATGAGAAAACCACCAACCACAGACTGGTTCTGGCAGGTTTACAGATGTTGCCCACTTGGGTGCCTTCATGTCCTGAAAAGACCTTTTGACATATAGGGCCTAACTGCAATACCTTTAAATGTTAAGTCTCCACTCCAAAGTGAACACAGTATCTGTTATATGCATGTTTGTCCAATACACATGTATTAGGACCACTTTCATGAATATTCTTAGCTCCTTTTGTAACCTATTCAACATGTATGTTTAGCCAACCTGTTCAACGTAAAGCTCCTATCCCAAACACACCTCCTTCATAGTGGGTCTTGGCCAGAGGTAGACTTCTGTGGGATGGCCACCCTGCAAGCTACAGTTCTTAGGAAGAAATAAAGTCTCCTTTCCTTTTAAATTTATAAGTTGTGTGTTTTTTTAAGCTAAGTGACAAAACAGACTGAGACACATATAAACCTGCAAATACTTCTTTTTCCAAAAAGTGAGATATGCACAAAACAGCCTATAGGTTTTTTTGTTTTTTTTTTTTTTCACTTAGCAATATGTCATGAGGAGTTTTTAATGGGACACTCACTGTCTTTTTATAGATCTATAATCTGTCTTACAGTATATGATTTTAAAATGCTCTTCCATGTCACTTGGAATCATCCAATGTGTAGTGCATCTAAGTCTGCCCAGGTCTAATATCCCTTTGGTATTTAGTCCCTTAGGAGGATCTCAAGGGCTGCCTTTTAGGCTCCAAAGGAGCACATAAGCCTTCATAAAGCCTCTCCCTCACCAGGAAAGGGTGGTCTGAAGATTGTCCTCAATCCATGCCTTATAGCCACTCTGCTCTGCTGCTCTTTTGACCCTGAAGAGTGATACAGAAATAGATCATGTAAACAGAGATGTTTCTTTACAAGCCTGTAGTCTTTCTGGGTGTTCAATGACAACACAGAAGAATAGCTTCTAAGAGAATCAAATGGAGTTTCACATAATTTATTTTTAATAAGTACTTTATATTCCTTGTATCAAAGGCAGTAGTGTTTATACTTTGCTACTGTATGTGTACAAATGTGTAAAAAATATTTTCCCACTAGACAGTGTACATTCTCCATCTGTGTAGCTATGCACTTTTTTCAATATGGTGCTCTGTTGGATACCTTAATGCTCTCCCATGTGGCCTTTAAATTATATATACTGTTACTTTTTTTTCAGTAAAAATGAGACCTCTCTTGTGAACATTTAAAGTTCACAAAACAAGTGACTCTTCTATCATTTATGGCGCACAAGAACCCCCTAACATTACCTCATTCAAGGGTCACAAGAGCCCCCTAACATAGCCAGGGTTGTCACACTTAGCTGCAAGATCTTGCCACAGTCACCAATGTGTCAATAGTGCCAAGCACAGTGCCTGGTACACAGGATTCATGAGCAGCTGAAAAACATCAGGTTAAGTGTTTTGACCATGTCATGTGGACAGTAAGTTGGCAGAGTAACAATGCTCCCAAACCTAAGCTTCTCACTACAAGTTCAGTGTTCCTTCTACTGTATCACACTGTCTCCTGCCATTCTGGCTCCAATACAACGATTTTCATTCAGACTCACCAATCATATAACGCAGGGTTCAGCTTATAGGCTCCTCACTTATTCAAAGTATCAGGCTGAGAAGTCAGGCTAGGTTAGAAACTGTGTAAAAGCACTGGTGTGTGTTCAATTACCTTAAGAACTGGCCTTAGTCAGAGGTGTTCAGTCAAGTCAGTAAGAAACCCTGGCTCCCATCATGCTTGCTGTGACTTGACACTTTCTCTTGTCTGCTGAGATTAATAAAATTGTTCTTGTCATATAGTAGAAAAAGGCACTAAATGTAGTCCATGCAAAGGCAGGCACATAAAGATAGAGATAGTGACTGCTGTTTCAGAAATTGATCTGAATTAAGAGTCCAATTCTACTGCTTACAAAGAGAAAACAGTATTATGAAGAGTTAATCAATCAGACTGTGCATGTCTGATGGGAAGTTATAAAATGGAAACCTAGGTAAGGGTAACTAGAAATAGGCAAGATCCTAGCTCGGAATAGTGTGAAAACTGAAAATCAGGAACTTGAGACTGAGACAAGTAGTGGTCAGAGAACAAACTAGTGTGGAGCAAACTGGGGCCTTCACCAGCAGCCTAAGCTGTGGGAAACTTGGTGGCTACGGATGATTTCAATGCAGAGGGAGAAGAAAGATGGCAATAAGTGGAGGATGCTAAACCCAATGGCAAAATTATCAGAAGACACAGATTCAGGCCTCTGAGCATCAACTGTCTCACCTCTAAGTGAGGTACAGAGGTCTGAAATATCCTCCCTTGCTCCACAGTCTTCAAGGCTGCAGTTGTAGTTCATTTAAATCTGATTTTCTAGAACAGAAAGGTTTAGGGGGTTAGAGGAGGGAGTGTGAGCCCCTGTATTACTATCTCCAAGGCACAGTCCCCATGAGACTGGCTAGGGCAAACAAGAGCATGTCTCCTTCCTCTACCCCTCTGCTGTCTACCACAACAGCTATTATCACTTGTGATTCTCTGCTCTCCTCATTCCACCCTCCTTGACCCCTATGGCATATAAGGACTATTTGGACAATGCACCCTTCAGTGGCATAAGTTGGTTGGATAACACCATGCCATCCCAAGGGAACATGGGTAGTTCTCACACTTCTCTTAGATATTGCCTTCCAGACACTGTCCTGCCTCTTCCCCACTGGATACAGAGAAAATGGCCAGTGTGTAAGTTAATTTACTCTAGGGGTAGATGGAGGGAGGAAAAGGAAAGTAAGGCAAGAAGCCAGTAGCCCATCTTGGGAAAAAGGGTTCCCCAACCTATCCTCTGTTTTCTGAGTCTCTTTCCCTCATGAATATTTATGTGTAGCTCTTTAGCTTGGCACTCTCTGGGAGATGGCAGCTGAGAGGCTCAAGACTGTGGCCAATAAAAGCAAGGGAGAACTGACAGGAATGCAGTTAGAAAGCAAAGAACAGACATTAAACTCAAATTTCTTAGATGCAGACTTCCTACTAAAATCTATATGGGGTGGAAGAAAACCCAGGCCCAGATGTTACTATCATGTCCATATTACCTTTTAGAAAGCACATAGCTAGCAAACTGTTTCATATGCTGCCAGAAATAAACAGACAGAATGCAGCTGGGAACTCTGAGCTGTGCTACTCTGCAAATCATTTTACTGCATACGAATGACAGCTATTATACAACTGGGATCCCCCAGGGAAATAATTTCTATTCCCAACTCCATTTACAACCTGATGAGTCAGTTGAAGTCAGCAGGTTGGAACAGTGTATTAATGAAGCCAAGAGCTCAGAAAAGATGCTCTGGCAGACCTGGATATTTTGCACAGTAAAGATCTGCTTTCCCAAGACCACATCCTGTAATCTTAAAGGTCTGTCTTGCACATGTGTACTAGACATAAGAAAGCTGAACAAAGGGCATTTTGTAGGCCAGAACTCTGTAGGCCAGAACTCACTACTGGAAAAACAATTCAGAGATAAAAAGTGGCCGGGACACACTCCTGTCTTTGACTTTACTCCCACTTTAGGAATTAGTCACTGTTACCACCGTGTAGTGAGATCATTTTTCATCTTGGTCTGCTCACTCAGGCTGAGTAGTATCATGTTCTTTTCCTTGTCTCTAATAGTTCCCCTTCCTTTTTAGGTCCAGTTCACAGTTGTTACAAACAAAATAATAAAGCAAGTCAATAAGGTTGCAAGGGAGGACTTATAGAGTAAACAAACAGTTGTAACACATAAGCTTTGTGATAGTAGAGATCGCTGTCTAATCTGGGTTCAAAGCTTTGTAGTAGGATAGCAAGGATTTAAGAGATTTAGCTTTTGTGTATCTGAAAAAAAATATCTAGGATTCAATGCTCCACAAGTACAGCTATTTAGGATAGTCTTATTTAGGTACCATTCAGTTTAGAATTCCCTAATATCTTTAATCAGTTTCCTTTTTTTTTTCTTTATGTCCAGCAGGTTCAAAAACTATTAACCTGAGTATTCCCAGCCTCACTTCTAGCACCCTCAACTTCACTCTAGGTTCCAGTGTGCCTGTGTGACTCCTGACCTTTTCTGAATGCTGATTTAGAAATGGGCCAAAAAAAGGTAACAATAATACCTGAAGGCACTTAGCCAGGTTTTTGAAGAGCTCTTTGGTTGGGGGTTGGCAAAGAGACAGAAAGATACAGTTGGCAGAGCTGCCATGTGTGTTGAATACTGTATCAGAAATGGCGACAAGATTTCAACAAGTTGTTATAGGTGAAAAATATACCCTCTCACTTTGAGCATTTTTTTTTTTTTTGAGTGAGAATGAGTAAAGATATTAGTTGCTTTTAGTCATATTTTTCTGCCACATAGTTGTTTCTTTGAACATATTACTGTGAAGAATAAGGGCTCAACTGAACCCCAGTTACATTTTCACATTTCTGTTTATATCTAACATAATAATAATAGCTGATGTTTATTGAGCACTTACCATGTATCATTTATTCATTCAATAGCTATTAATTCAACACCTACCTACTATGTTCCAGGCACTATTCTAGGCATTGGGGATACAACAGAGAATAGGCCATGAGAGGTCCCCAACTAATGAAGCTTATTTTCTAATGAGAGTAGAGAGACAATGGACAAATATACAAGAGGAGGAAAGAGTGACAGCATGGCTACTTTAGAATGAGTGATGAAAGAATGCCTCTTGAGGATGTTAAGGTGACAGCTGGTGGTGTGAAGAGGCCAGCCATGTAAGATCAATGGACAAGCATTCCAGGAAGCAGAAACTACATGTACATAAGTGCCAATGTGAATACTTGAAGTGTTAAAACAGAAGGTTGGTGTGGCTGAATCAAAAGGGTGAGGCTGGTACAAAATGGTGTCCAAGGTAGAGGTAGGACCAGATCACGTGGGGTTATGCAGGCTTGGGTTTTATTCAACATGCCAAAAATTGAGAAGTCACTGAAGGATTCTAAGCAAGAAACTGATATGACAGAATGTTCATTTTTAAAAGACTGTATTGGCAATAGGTAGAAAATTGCTTTTGGAGGTTGAGGGGAGGGGTGTATAAGCAAGAGGGTCAGTTAGGAGGCCATTATAGGGGATCAGATGACTGTGTAATATTAATGTTAGACAATTGTCAGACATCATGCTTTGCATCAAATTTTCAAACCACCCCCCAAAGAAGTCTACAAAATTGCACAAGGACAAAGGCTTGGCACCAAAGGTAGTGCTGGACTGACCCAGATACAAGATACATAAGAAGTGGAGCAGGATGGCTGGGCTGAGTGACTTGCAGAAAGCAGGCAGATAGGTCCTCAAAGTCAACAGAGATTTGAAGCCACAGACAGGCTAGCAGTGACAGCAAGGAACTTCCAACTGATTAGATCTACCCTGGGAGAAGCTCCATCAATTTTTTTGTAAATGGAAAGCATATGAGAGTGACAGCCTAAGGTGGTCAGGCCAGCCTGGCTATGCCCTATTGCAATAAACCTGGCCCCAGTGTCCAAGACTAACATATTTTTAACTTAAACCTAGAGAAACAGCATTCAATCTGTTGGGAAGGAGTCCTAGGACTCAGTGATTTCACAAACACAGCATGGAACTTAGGCCTTATATGGTTCCTAATAGAGGAAAAGAGAGCATCATTTAGACCCAAGGCCAACTCCTCAGGTGTGGCTATGTTGAGGATTGGGAACACAAACATGGTTCTCACAGTCTCACACCCAGACCCACAAACCAAGGAAACATCGCAGTTTGTTCCTCATGTGATTCCACTAAGCAGCGTCAGTTTTTCTTCTGCCACCAGTGCCGCTTTCTAGAACCAACTCTGAGGACTTTAACTGAGGCTGAGTGACACACAAGAGGAGCAGCAGCCCTAAAGGAAGCCCGCCTACCCTGGAGGATGCCTTCCACTTCAGATAGGCCAGAAAGCCAGTCCCTGCCTAAGCACACCACAGGAGAACCCTGTAGTCCTCCACAGAGAAGGTGTCTGTCAAGCAAGAAGGTGACTGTGAACCCAGAACGTTCTGTTTGATTCTGGCCTCTCCCCATGCTTCTCAATGTGGATTCTAACTTGCAGTGACATCAGGAACAAAGCCATTACATTCTCTCTGTACCTTTGCTGGGTCCTTTTAAATAAAGCAGGACAAAACAGAAAGGGACTTCACATAGTTTATGAAGAAAAGTTCAAAAAAAAAAAAAGTGAAAATGAAAACAGAAAGAAGAGAACGGGATGGGCACAAAGTAGCCGTTAAATGAGAGAGGTCCTGGAACCACACTGCCTGGCTTCAAGTCCCAGATCTGCCACTATCAGTTGTGTCACCTTGTTTAAGTCATTTAACATCTCTATGACTCAGCTCCTTCATCTGTAAAATGGGAATAACAACAGTATCTGCTCACAGGGTTATGAGAAGTAAATTAACATGAACATGTGGAACAGTCCCTGGCTCACAGTTAGAGGTATGTACGGGTTATCATCATCACAGTGGGATTCTTAAATCTGAACGTAAACCTGCAGTGCTACTCCTGGAAAAAAAAATTATACCAGAAAGACACTGAGTAGGGTGCAAGAGCCCTCAAAGATCAGGTAATCAAAGGGCTAGATCCTCTGGAGTGAATGGAGGAAAATAAGTTAGCTACTTAGAGCATGGGTAAATGCAGCTAAAGAGAAGAAACAGAAAACGCAGATGACAGATGTATAATGTTTTAAAATACCTAAATTTCAGCGAAATGGGCCATGGAGATTTACCAAACTAGATTAGCAAAACTAGAATAAAAACTACTTTATAGGTGGAAAACCATGAAGTACACCATAGTGATAAATTCCTACTAATCACTATCAAGTGGTACGATAAGGGACACACAGAGCAGCTCGTCTACTTCCTTACAATAGTGGGGAATCATAGAAGATGATCTACCAGAAACCGTGGATGTCATGAGTAAAGATCTGGGAAGATAATGAATGTAATGTTCTCCCTTTTAATATGGAAAGCCTGCATTTTTGCTGTCCTTCTCTGGGTGATTCATCACATTCACCAACAGATATAGCATGCTTCTGACACTTTCCCTGAATGGTAAAGTCTGGGAATTTTTACAGCCTGGTAAACATACATGCAGCCTGATCTGTTACTCTGCTGCGTTAGACACCTATTCACAAGCCTTGATTGGTGGCTGGATGACATTAGCCAGCTGTGGGAAAGGCCAACAGAAGACAGTAACCATGGACATTACTTTTGTGATACCTCCTCTCATAAATGACTATTTAACTAAATTAAATCTCCTGCCCCTCACCCTTGAGATACAGGGGTCTCCGAGTGCTGATGGAAGATAGACAGTGCTCCTTCACATCTCCCTCCACAAATACTGCACATACTTAGGGGCAGGAAGGGAACTGCAGGCCAAAGTTCAATCATACTTCACCATGAATGGCAGAAAGATGGGCAGTTGCTCTTTGCCTCTGGCATTTTTTGGTTTTCTATGAAAAAATGTCAAAGATGTTAAAAGAACTAAAAGGTTTGCTTCCTTGAGTCAACGTTTTCACATCTAACCAATTTCTATGATACATGAGACACCACAGAGACAAATATGGAGGGCAGAACTTACCTCTGTACTTTTGTGTTTGTTTTTGTCTGAATCTGTTATATAAAAAGGAGTTAACAGGACTCATAGGATTGTTAAGAGGCTTAAAGGAGATAACCCACTTGTCTAATACCTGGCATATGGCATGTAGGCTTTGCTCCAAAAAGAAGGGTTAATCTGTTCAGTCTAAAGAGACTAAGCACTCAGAAGGCCATGCTGCAGTCTCCAGGGCTGGCACTAACCAGCCTTTCAACAGAGTCACACTGGGCTAATTGTTATCCGGAACTAGGGGAGCTCATGCTCCTGGCTCACACACACCCTGAGAGAGCTATATTCAACGGGATACATGTGAATCTTCATTAAAATTGATGGCTTGAATCATCAAAGTTAGTGACTGTTACACTGAATGCTTACTATATGCTTTAACGCAGATAAGAGTTTAATATAAAGTAATTCTGTCTTAGGCATCCTCCAAGTGAACTTGTTATCCTGAACTTGTTAAAAGTACTCTTAATCAGAATGCCATTCCTTGCATGGCTCTCAAGCACCGGTTTATGGCCACACGTTCTAAAATGGGTCCGATTTTCTCTAAATGAGAAAAGGGTGACAAGGAGAGTAAGAACTTAAAATCTGAGCAAGAGCTTTACCTTTCCCAAAATTATAAGACTCAGGTTTAATTTTGTGGTAATAACTACAGACTTGTTAAAATACATAGATATAAAGGTAGCTTGTCTTTAATTACATTCAGTCACTCTTCCAAATAGTTATGATCTGCACAGGTACTTTGTCCCGACCAATAACTTTTCCTTTCAATTAAACTTTTAAGAAATAGAAATAGACAGAAAAGCCCAGTTCTATTCCTGGTCTGTAGATACCTTAAATACTTAACAGAAAAGATGAGAAAAAGACATGATTGGTTTGAGGCCATCTGTTTTTGAAAACTGGAGTTAAAAAAGGTAGCAAAGATATTAACAAATCTAATATACAGCAGACACATGTATAACATATCCAAAACCTGAATATCCAGGTACTCAAGTAATATTAAGAATGATTGGTAAACATTCTAGCCAGACTGTTTCAGGAAATTATGTTGCAGCAACAACTCCAAATATCTCATTACTTTAACATGACAGAAATTTATTTCTTGCTCATGCTTCATACTCAACTTCAGGTAGCTGGGGGCTTCGCTCATTATGACCACTTAAGGAGCCCTAGGTAGATTAAGGCTTCACATTGCTTCCACCATCCCAGTGGCAGAGAAAGAAGGGGAAAACAGTGATTTACACACAGGCTCTTAAAAGCATCCCTCTAGAAGTGGCACATATCCATCTGGGCCTACATTTCATTGGCCAGAGTAAGATACATGGCCATACCTAACTGCAAAGGAGGCAAAGTAGTACAGTTCTGCCACATGCCTAAAAGGCACAGATGTGGACATTTCTGAACATCACAAATGACAATCTTACATAAGAATCTTGCACTGTTTTTTCTCATCTATTATCTCACTGGACTCTTCAACCTTGCAGTTTGGGTTCTATCAGCAACCCATTTTACAAACAAAAATAGTCAAGCTTCAGAGAGATTAAGTGACTTGCTTAAATCACATAAATAGTAAAACATCTTTTGATATTCCATATTCTAATATTGTAGTTAAAAGGCTATTGTACAAATCTTTGCACCCATAATTTTAAGTACATTCTAAGTTGTTATTTGTACTATTCACTAAATATATTGTCTGATGTTACTCATCTCTTATATATACTATACATGCACTCTATCTCTAACTAAATTCTGTGCTTCCTGAAGGTATATTATCACATAGATCCTTGCATTCTCCACAGCAACTCAGCTACTGCAGAGTCACAAAGGGCAAAATATTCCTAAGTTTGTCTTAGTTGCTGTAAAACATCTACAGAATTACTGTTTTCTGAACACTATGCCTGTACCTTTGAGTATCTCAGGAGAAAGAAGTTAACTAGAAAAATTAAGTATAAGCTTGGGCAGCATAGTGAGACGTTGTCTCAAATGATAATAATAATAATAAAGATTGAAACTAGACCCCCACCTTACATCATATTAAAAAAAAATCAACTCAAGACAGATTAAAGACCTAAATGTAAAACCTAAGTCTATAAAAACCCTGGAAGATAACCTAGGAAATAACATTTTGGACGTAGGATCTGGCAAAAATTTCATAACAAAAATGCCAAAAGCTATTTCAGCAAAAGCGAAAATTGATAAATGGGATCTAATTAAACTAAAGATCTTCTGTACAGCAAAAGAAACTATCAACAGAGTAAACAGACAACCCACAGAATGGGAGAAAATATCTGAAAACTACATCTGACAAAGGTCTAAGATCCAGAATCTACTTAAATGTACAAGCAAAAAAACAAACAACCCCACTAAAAAGTAGGCAAAGGATATGAATAGACTCTTTTCAAAAGAAGACATACATGTGGCCAACAAGCATACGAAGAAACGCTCAATATCACTAATCATTAGGGGAATGCAAATCAAAATCAAAATGAGATACCACCTCACATCAGTCAGAATGGCTATTATTAAAAACTCAAACAATAACAGATGCTGGCAAGGCTGCATAGAAAAGGAATCACTTTTACACTGCTGGTGAGAGTGTAAATTAGTTCAGCCATGTGGAAAGTAATGCAGTGATTTCTCAAATAACTAAACACAGAACTACCATTCAACCCACTACTGGGAATATAACCAGAGGAATATAAATAATTCTACCATAAAAACACATCCACACATTATGTTTATTGTAGCACTACTCACAATAGCAAAGACATGGAATCAACCCAGATACTCATCAACAATAGGCTGGATAAAGGAAATGTGACACATATATACCATAGAATACTATGCAGCCATGGAAAAGAATGAAATCACTTCTTTGCAGGAACATGGATGGAACTGGAGGCCATTACCCTTACCAAACTAGCACAAGATCAGAAAACCAAATGCCACATGTTCTCACTTATAAGTAGGAGCTAAGTAATAAGAACACATGGACACAAAGAGGGGAACAACAGACACTAGGGTCTACTTGAGAGGAAAGTGGGGAGAGGGAGAGATTCAGGAAAAAGATACCCAGGTGATGAAATAATCGCCATACCAAACCCAAGTCATGAGTTTACTTATTTAGCGAACCTGCACATGTACCACTGAGCCTAAAATAAAAGTGAAACTTTTTAAAAAAAGAAAAAAAAAGTTTACCACCTTATTATTATGAAGAACTTAAGATTGCTCTATTTGGAGATGTCCTCCATATACCACATTCATTTACAAAGTTTTATATTTGTAAATACATGGTGCATGTAAAGTGCATATAAATTTTGACTATATATGTATATGCTTCCCTTTTTCTTTTTTTCATTTATTTATTTAATTTTCTTTTTTCTAAGGTTCAATTCAGGTAGTGCTTCCCTTTTTCATCATATCAAATCACATCACACACTACAGACAACATATCATTCTTACTACATACAACCATTCCCAATTTGCAGACTTCTCTTTGCCTTTGTTATGACACTGAAAGTTTCTTTGTAAATTCACTAAAAGTTTCTTTGTGAATTCACTAAAAGTCATTCTTCCATCATTAAATCA